AATCTGTTGCATCCATGTGCACAGCCTGAATTAACAAAGTGTGTTCATTGAGACTATATTGGGCTTTCAAGTAACAATACATATACAGTTAATTGCTGTCTTCTTAGATTTTTATGTTAAAACAAAATGAAACATGTAAACAGAAATGGAATCAAGGCTCATATTCACCTAATATATGTATATTTTACTAAATTAATGTCCATGACCATGCATAAAGGCATGTCCATGTGTGCATAGAGATGTAATCATAACAGGATATTCACATGCTAAATTTACCTACCCACAAAGTAGAATGCACACAAATGCCAGACAGCACAAAATTTCTCAGAATCTCCCATAAAAAACATTTAGTAAATAATTCAATTTAATTATGCCACATCTACTTCAGTAGGATCTGTCTCAGAGATTGAAATGGATGATTTTAAAATACACTCTTCATCACTTGTTTCTCCCCCTCCCAATTATTTATTTATATTCCTATTGTTCCTCTTCTACTGTGCCAAAATGACCTGGGCTAAGTCATTCATAGTGGTATTTATGGGCAAAATGTCAGCAGCCCTTAGGACTCACATCAGTAACCTGACCACATCAAGATCTGGACTCTGCCAAATGGGCACTGTGATTTATGTAGTCAAGAAATTATTCCAAGGAGAGGCATGAGGGGCAGCATTTGTCAATTTCTAGCCAAAACAAGTGTTAAGGTTTGGGAATAAAATTGAAGAAGTGTAAAGGAGTCAAATTTAAAATTGCATTGGAGGAAAGCACCACCTTGTTATCTTAAGTATGCTGCTAATTTGACAGGTATCTTCTTCAATTCTGCTTTACTCAATAATTTGAGTATTAAACGTATGGCTTTTCAGGGGTTGAGAGAAGAAAGGGACAGAGAGAGAGAGAAAGAGAGAGAGAGAGAGAGAGAAGAGAGAGAAGAGAGAGAGAGAAGTTTTACATAAGTTTTAGCCCAAGAAATGCAGTTCTATGGAAAAAACTTATATTTCATTTCAATGTCATCTATTCCTAATAGACCCAGACATCATGGTTTGTGGAGAATAGGAAGCAATGATGATTCTCCCATACATGCTTTCATTTTTCAAAGCACTAATCCATAACTCTCTAGTTATTTGAATTCAAGTATTCACTTTCAAGTATTGTTAGGTATTATCTCAGAATACTATCACATTTCATTTCTGATGTTTTGGACATCCATACAAAATATTATATTTTCATTAAACTCAGCTTAAAATAATTTTATCTATTAACCCTCACACAGATAAAATACATTCAGATATCCCCCACCCCGTGAAATGCTGTGAAGAGAACCCAATTTTTTTCTTTGTAACAGTCATGCAATATTTATGTGTGTGTCTCCTTTGTTCATGGCTGTCTCTTTCTCTAAACTACAAGTTTCATTAGGGCAGGGTGCTGGCCTTTTCAGGAAAGGCTGGATGGTGAAGTAATTAAGTATATGGATTCCAGCAACTCATTTGCAGATCCACATCTCACCCATTCCTCTTACTAGCTATGTGATTTGGGGTAATTTAATTAATATTTTTCTACCTCAATTTTCCCATCTGTGATATAAAGGTAACTTTAATATCCATTTCAATGACTCTGGAAAACATTTAACTAATAATTGTTTAAAAACCAAGTAAACAGTAAATGGTACATATGAAATATATTAATATTTATTCATAATTATTACTTTTGCTTACATTTGGATCCTCATCAACAAGTGGAATGGCAGGCACATCTCAGAATCTCAAAGAATATCTATCAATTGACTGCATGACTGGCTGACTGAATGAACAAATGGGAAGAAGCATTTGTAGAGAGTTTCTTGCTCTATGATTTTCAAATTACTTTAGACTGGACTCCTTTTCTCTGCTAAAAGTATATTCAGTTTGTATAAGTGCAATATACATAAAGGATATAACATATTAAATACTTTACTTAAAAAGAGGGAATTATGGAATCAAGAGTCCCATCCTCTGGGTGTCCATTAACCTCCTTGGCAGCCCTACAGTTATTTCTTCTACAGGGCTAGGTCTCCACAGTGGAAAAGGAAATCTCTGATTTCAATCCAACTGCTTCAGACCCAGGAGGGTTTAGGAAACTAGTGCTAAAAGAATTTAAGGGACCTATGAAAGTCCAAATGTGTGTCAGAGCTGGATGCAAATTAAAGACTCAAAAAGCCCATGTGAAAAATGTCTATTTCATTGATCTGCATATCAAAATTCTTCCAGGGGTGCCATATGTACTCTGCTTAATGTCACAGCCCATAGATGAAACTTTCAGAGAAAAAAAGGGAAAGTAAAGTCATTCTAATAACAAAACAAAATGACAACACAAACAAAACATATAAAAGACTGCATCTTACCATACCATACCATACTCTTGCTGATTCCTCTGCTTGTTCCCTTGCTGCTTCAGGCCCTAAATTAATTCGTTCAACAAATATTTGAGCATCTTCTATGAGGCAGCTAGTTCTAAGCACTGGAGATTAATTTGTGAGCTGATAGACATGTTAATTAGCCTGATGTAATCATTCCACAAGGTGTGTGTGTATCACTATATATCTCAAAAAATCACACTGTACCCCTTAAATATACACAATAATTATTCATCAATTAAAATATAAATTTAAACTGAAAAAAGAAGAAAAATATCTGCCATCATAGAAGTCTATTAAAAAACACATTCTACTAATAAATAAAATGAAATATTTTGGGGGCTTTGGCAAAGAGAGATTGATGAAACTTCAAGGATGACATTTTTAAAAAGTTCTTAGATCCTGAGACACAGACCAAGTACTATTTTAATGTTAATATCTGTTTTTTTTTCAATTAACTTGTATAGGATAATATACATTGTAGTCTTAGTAACAAACCTTTATTGAACAAAAATAGGCCATCTTTCAGCACCTTTTATTCTTCATCACTTGACTGTTAATATTATTTTAACATAATCCAGATAACACATAGTTTGAGAAAATTTAAGACTATACACATGACTAAGAAAATGTCTCTTAAATAAACAGGTATACTTTTTCATTATTCTCTAGATATGGCCAGTTCAAGCTACTTTATGCTGCCAATTATTATTTCAATCTCTGCTTCCATTAGTACTTTACAATGTCTGAGCTACAAAAATAAAAGATTTCATTATAGCATAGTTCACAAATATTATTTTAGTCCAGCTATCCACATTGTCCATCTAAAACAGTAAGTACTGCCATCACATGTAACTGTCTTAGACTTGTAATTGAGCATATTTAATGAAACAAAATTGTATATGAAACAGTACTGTGATGTTAAATATCTGCAGAAAGACTGAAAAAGGAAGTAAGCCACCTAATATTTTCAATATTCAGATATTTGAGATTACACAGAAAAGACACATCCAGATGAATGACTGAATTACTCACTTTTCTTCTGAGAATTCTGGCATTGGATAGACACTGCCAGCATTCATTTAGATTAAATATATTTTAGGAACTGGTTCAGTTTACATAGTTAATGCATATACAAGAAAACACTAAGCCCAAAATAAATTCCCAACTTAGAAACAAATACATAGCATTGATTAGTATTTTAAAATAACTAGCGAAAAATACAATTCTTATTAGTTCTGGTAGTACCTATGTTAAAATAATTTGTTTCATTGGAAAGTTGTTTTTTCAATAGGAATAAATTCATATTCTGCAAAATGTAAGTAATCTTTTGCTGTTTGTCATTACAGGTGTATAATAGAGTTATACATCTATAGTCAACATTTAGGTTAAGATTTTATTCCATATGAGGATGTTTAGGCTCTTAATGTAAATTCCTCAAAAACATCTTTTTATATACCTGTTAATTAAAATATATAATAAGAAATGACACCTATCTTATAGGCAAAAGTCATAGACATAAGCGAAACATTTTAAACCTATCTGGTCCTTTTTAAAGCAATTAAATAAGTGAAAGAAATAAAATGTATTCATTAAAGTACAGTCATAGAATATACTTTTAAAAAAGAATCTCATACTTAAATTATTAAAAGGAACTCCCAGAATATTTTTTAAGAATATTTATAAAGATCTCCTGGTACAAGTTTTATTGTTTTTTGGGGGAATAAATGATGCCATGAATATAGCACAGTAAACTGCAGAATGCATAATGCTATATGGGTTTAAAGGAAAAAAAATACATTATGCTGATTCAAAGCCACTTAATTATGCCATGAATTAATAAAGTTAAGCTGATTATGTTGTTACGTACTAGAATAGGAATTTAGAACAAAGAGAAAATAAACAAGAAATGAAGCTGTTTTAACATATTTAATATTAAGCAAAATTCTCATCTTATAACACATTATCACTTGTAAAAATTTCAGAAACTATCAGTCTGGTTCTCCTTATTTATATATTTTTTCGGTCCAAAGATGTTTCAAAATATGCTGTGTTAAGGTGAGATGGTGAAATGGATCCATAGGGTCTAGAAGATAAATTGGGGCCCAAGTTAGGAGTAGGAAAGTAAAGCTAAATTAAAACTTAATGAACTATTTCCCTTTCAAAAATATATGAAGATAGTTGGGACTCCTAGGTACATTAGGAAAATTATAAGGAACAAACTTGGGCAAGTAGTAATATTCTACCTTGTAGAATTAAATGATTTTTAGAATTGGGAAGGAGTCTGCAGGAAATTCAGACCTTGATCTTTTTTTTTATTCTGGTCACTTCATCTGAATACTCTATGTATCAGTTAAAAAACTAATTATCTTTCTTACTTAGGTAGTTTGTTATATCAAAAATACAGATGCTCCTCGACTTACACTGGGATTATGTACATATAAATCCATCATAAGTTGAAAATATTATAAGTCAAATATGTATTTAATACACCTAATAAATACATCAAACGGCAAAGGTTAGTCTACCCTACCTTAAATGTGCTCAGAACACATACATTAGCCTATAATTGGACAAAATCACCTAATAAAAAGCCTATTTTATAATAAAGTATTGAATATCTTATGTATCACATATCACTAGCCAGACAAAAGATCGATATTCAAAATACGAAGTACATAGAAATTGTGATGATTTTGTACCATCATAATGTCAAATAAATCATAACTCACACTAAAATAAGTTGAGGACCATCTGTATCGGTAAAGGATGCTGAACTATTCTGAAAATAGAATTGCTACATGAATATACCACAATATTATTTTACAGCTAATGATATTTTCCAATTTTCCAAATCTTTAAATTTCTTTGAGTATGTCATTACGATTAAAGGTGTGCCACTCTATCACAGAATTTAAGTTTATCTATTGATTATATTTCATTTAATATATTTTATTAACTATTTTCTAGGATACACTTCTCCAAATGTAATAATTGTGGCTTGACAGATCCATTCAGTAAAACCAATGGTTTTATGGGCTTTCTATATTTGCACAATTGTTCTAACAGTGGAAGTGAATATATTTAGTGCAGACAACCTAACTGGATCAGTTACCTTACTGATACGAGTCTGTAAGTCTGATGTTCTATCCATCCTATCAATCAGACAATTATTCACGTCAATTCCTCTTGCTTGTGAACTATGTTCAGATTATCCATGAGTGTATTGATTTGATCGGTAATATTCCTATATAAAACCCCAACTTCAAAGTTTAACACAGCCATTGATTTGTTTCAATAGTACATTGGTTTTCAAAAAAAAATATGTATCTGGGTCATTGTATCTACGTGGCTATTTTACTTTCATCACATATCCATTTTGAAATACATATTGTCTGCTTTCATATTTGTATTTTAGAATAATCTTCCCACCTCATATTACACTGCTCAACTTCATAAAATTCATGCCAAGCATTTGAAACAACTCAATTCCTAACTTTCAATAATTCCAGTAGACATACATAGCAAATATATCTTTAGAATGCCAAAAAAAATGTGATGAATTGTGTCAGAAATTTTAGTCATTCATCCAAATATTTTGTCTGCATCATGACAAATATATTTAATAAATTCTGTTAACTGACTAAACCCTTGCCAGAATTGCCTTGGTATTATTTAGACAAAATAATTATTATTAGTTCACAATAATAAGAATAGCAATAAACATTATTAAATAAAAGATTCATTTATGTTGGCACAAATTCCAACATTGAGGAAAATGATTCCAGTTGGCTAATGTATACCAAAATCTTTATGATATGGTTGCAATTCGGATTTTAAGAATGCAGAGGACCATAATACTTTATCATCCTCTAGCTGATGTCAACAACTACATCATACAGTAGATATTGAAATGAATGAAGAGAATCAAATGGTGTGTTGTATTTGATTTCAAAACAAACCAATTTATATGGGGCAATTTACTGATGACAATGGAATATTTATGATTGTAGATATCCATTTCAATTAGGTTATTGCTTAAGGATCATAATTGGCCTGGAATCTTCTGGAAAATTTGTAGGCTACTTTATAAAGTTACATAAAATTGTGAAAAAGTTACATGCTTTAGAAATTTAGTATTTCCATCAAGCCTGTAGTCTAAAAAGAGTATGAAGACAATAGCAAATGGATGTTTTTTAACACAGTTTCTTAGTATTTACAGTATTTTTTCTTCTCTAGCTGGCATTCCTTCAAAGTCAGTCAATTGTTTTTCTGGAACTTTTTTCACCTCACACTCAGAACAAGGAGGCATTTGCAATTTCTGTCAAACAATACAGACAATTAGAAGAATCAAAATAAATATATTTTAAGATAAAAATAGAAAATTATAATATAATAGTAATGAAAATACATATATCTCAAAAACAGCATACATAAAAGTAATGTCAGACAAAAATGAAGCAAATCTAAAGATATTACTACTTCTACTTCATGGAAGTACATTAAAATATTTTGTATACATGTGGGAAAAATTTCAAAAATTATTTTGAGAAAACTTGGCCAAACCATTCACCTCTGATTGCGCTAATTCATAATTTGAGAAATGTTGTATTAAATGAAAAAAGAAACTTAAGAATTGCTATAATACAACATCTTTGGTAAAATATAAGACAGCACAAATAAATATTCAGAGTCAGCCTCTTGACTTGTGCTTGTTTTTTACTTTCTATGGTTGATATGTACTTTTTTCCATGTCTCTTGTGTCCTGAAATCTTCTGTAATTTCCTTGCCCCCACATAGGAACATATGCCTGTTCTTAATCTCTGTTTATTTCTGTTTTGTTTCCTGGTTGCTGGAAAGGGGGATGCAGTGAGGAGGAGAGGGAGGGCTCCCCTCACTGAGGAGAGCCCTTGATCTTCTCAGGGCCTCACATATCAAACCAAAAACTTATTGTAAGACAGAACAGCCATGGAAAACTTCAAGGGCACCAGGTGAAGGAATTATATTGTATTAGCCAATACAGCATCCTGCTGGAGCTAGAGCAAGAGAGAAAAGCACTGCATACAATGGATCCAAGAAGTGCTTTCTGACATAACAAAAATAACACAAACAAAATACCTGTGGGATAGCCTCTGATTCTGCAGTGGTATTACTTGGAGGATTCTCTTTGTGCTTCATTGAACAGGTTTTGCCCTCCTAAAAAAAGCAGCAATTGAAAACAGGTTAATGAAGTTAAACAAAGAAAGGGAATAAAAACAAAACAAAACAAAAACTCCTTTGAATTTTTCTCATTGAGAAGTTTCTATCACTTGGATTTATGCTGAAAGGGCTAACTAGGGTCAAAATCATCACAGCAAAAATGGGATCCCAAGGAGAAAGCATTCATGGTTGGTTTGGGGATCTCAGAAACACTTATGGGAATCAGCTACTACAAAGAAGCACAATTCCAATGGAAATTTCTTTCTCTGTTAAATGTTAAAAATGAAGTAAAGGACTATAAACCTGCTTTATCTGTGATGCATCTAGACTCTAAGATTTAAACATGCTAATGATCTGTGTGCCTGTAGGAACATCAATATTGCAGATCAGAAAGCAATTTAAATAATATTATCATCAATCTGTCTACTAAAAAATCCTCAACATCTTTAAAAAATAGATAATACTACTGGAACTAAGATCCTAAATATTTCTAACCAGAAAATCTCATGTTACTTATTAGCCTCATCAGATTTGAAGAAGATCAAGTGCTGGAAGTAAAAAGCAAAGCAAACAAACAAACAAACAAAAAACCATTCTAGTTGTGCTTTATTTCCATTTTGATCAAAGTTAAAATATTAAATTGTCCCTTCCCCCCATATCTTCCTTCTTTCTTTCCTTACTGCCTCTTTTTCCTTCTTTCTCCCTTCATTTCTTCTTCTTTATTATAAACACTCTTTTTTAATTAATAGCAAAATATTTAGTGTAAGAGTCTGCATTTGTGTGTGTGTGCATAATTTCCCATAATCCTTTCCATGTGTAAAATAGAGCCTAAGAGTTAAATAATAACAACTGGATAAGTGGATCACTCTGGTATTGACCAAGTCAGTTTCTTTCCTGGGGTCAACCAGGAGATGCAGCCACATAAGCTGGCTTCAAACTCCAGCATTTAAAAAATTCTGTGTAGAAAATAACTAAAGAGATTGTGCAGATTAAACCCACTCCCATTCAGATTTTAAAACAAAGTTATTTTTACATATGCCCTCTTTTCACATCATATAGCTCTTAAATGAACACTCTTTCTTTACCCTTCCTTGCCGATGTGTACACCATTCCATATTCATTAAAGTCTTTCTTCACTGTGAAATACTGAAAACCAGATATTCATCTCCTCATATCTCATTTTTTCCACCATTCTACCACTATATAACCTCAGTTACACTGACTTATTCTAAAGGTACTATGTATATAACAACTTTAGTACTTAACATTACTTTTACATGCATAAGCATGTCTTGCTCCTCAATAAATGATGAATTCCTTCAAGAAAGGGGCTACATTTATCACCCCTAGGTCACAGCTAAATGCCTACCAATAATGAATGAATAAAAACATACATAGGACATGAAAACAGTTCAGAACTTGGGAATTTTAATAAATGCCTGTTTTCTTTGTATGACCAGGTTTAGGTATATTTGACAGGGGCCCCCAGATTTAATAAACAATTATTTCCTCTAAATAAGCCCACACTATAAAGGAAAATTTAGATTGTAACCATCAGGACAGAAATCAATAGTTGAAACCTTAACTACCTTATTCCAAATACTTTTAAGCAGATGTATAGAAGAATCTTCTACACTTCCTAGGGAGGAAAAATGTTTCTTTTTCTTATTGTATGAGTTTTAGTTAGAACTGGAAACTTACATTTCCTTGGAAAAATTATAATCTGTTTTTGCTATAATAAACCAACTGGCTTTTGTTTCAATTATACTTGCATTCAGACTTTGAAAAATGAACTAAGATAATTGCTTGAAGTCAGGCTCAGAAAATACAGACTATGCAGAAAGTAAGCTACATAGTGTAGGATTTCCCAAAAGACATTTGGAAAGAATAGAGTTCATATAAGTTTGGAGAAAAATGATTTCCACATTAAACAGTTGTATTTATTACAGTTCTTCTCAGAGACTTTAATATACAATATCTTAAAGTTTTGATTTTAAATGATCTGATCACATAATTACATGAGGGAACTATTAGAAAAATACTACTCCACGGTATCCTGTCCTATCAATAGAGCACTTGCATTTTTAATCAGCATGTCAGCAATTCTAATGCACACATGAAATTTAAGATAGACTTCTTCATAAGACTCAGAGGTATTATAAATCTGTAAGAAGGAGATATAAACATTTCCTGACCTCAAAACTCTTTATGTGTAAAGCATTGCTTGAGGTCACTGCCATGAGTAAGATAATAGAGGATTTGCAATGGAGTATGTTATTTCCTTAAGGTAGCACAGCCAACTATCTGAGACAAGGCTTTGATCATGTGAACAATAAAAACTTATTACATTTCAGCATTAAAGAAAATGATATATGGTTGGAAGACAGTTGTAAGTTTTTGATACTATAATGAACACTACCTTTAGAATTCCTTTTTCTGTGTTTATAGGCATTGTGGAAATTTTATAAAATGGGATTCATAAAATTCTTAGTGTTTCTCAGAGAAACAAGTATTCATTTGGTGAGAATACAAAAGGTAGGTTTACCATATAGTTTTCTTACTGTGCTCAAATCTGACACCAGTTGTCAAAAATTACAGAGAAGTGTTGGAAATTAAGGAGAGGAAGAAGAATTTGACTCAATTCCAACATTGTCATATAAAGAAAGTTTTGGCTATTGGTTAAAAATGTTTTGGTTTAAAATAGACTTTCTTTCAAATTTTTGGCCTTGATGCTTATTCATTGATGATCTTGATCAAGTTATTTTCCTCTGGGTTTCAGCTTATTTTGTTGCAAAATGAGCCTACTTATTCATGGAGTTAATTTGAAGGTAAAATTAGAAAACACATATAAAAGTATTCCACATACATATTAACAAATAGTAAAAATGTTTCTGTTTCTCCTTCTATTATTATTATCATTAAGGGTGACAAACTTAAAATTATGATCAGTTGACACTGACATGACAAACCTTTATGCAGCTGAATCCACAGGCATGTAATTCTCACACACAGAAAAAGAAGAGGGAAAGTAGAGAGAAGAGGAGAAGAAAAGGAAATGGAGGAAAAAAGGCTGATAAAAGAGGCTGCAAAAAGCATTTATTACTACTGCTTCTCTTTTAACCAAAAGGTAAATATAATAATAAAAAATTACCTCAATTATATTTTGCTTTGGGAAAAAAAATACTTGAGAAAGTAGAAGTTTTCTATACCAAATTGTGTTTATATCTAAAGATTTATCCAATAAAAGATGGGCTTGGAGTTACACTGGGAAACACTTAATATAGAATTATGCCAATGGGTCTACTTCTAGGGCAGCTGCCTTGGAAACAACATAATGTAATTCTTAAAATAAAAGCTCCTTCATTTAGAAAAGCTGTATTACAGTGTAAGAGAAAAACTTACTATAGGATCACTGAGGAAAAATAGGCACTTATTATTGCAACTACAGCCAAGAATGTTATAGAAAAACTGTTGGAATAACTTTTGCCTGTGCAAATGGATTTTTAATTTTCTTTCTATGGTCACATAAATGAAATCCAGACTTCTAATGATTTACCTTTGTTATCTTTAAACTTCTTAAAAACTAAGAGCCAAATCAGGCTTCAAAAATGCTTTATACTTTAATCATTCATGCCACAAGCATTTATTGCATGTCTATTATGAGCCAGGCGCTGACTGACTGAAAAGAGAACATTGATAAAAGACAAAATATTTGTTCGTAATTAGGGTTACAGTCTAGTGAATAAAGCAGAAATAAATATATAAGCAAGAACATAGAAAAGAGAATGTCAGACTAAGTGTGACGATGTAAGTACTTTCAGGTCACACCCAATGGCATGGTGACAGCACAGGTTTGAGGTCAGGCATCTCTGTGCCCAAGTCCCAGTTGTTTCACTAACTGATCATTTATCAGGGGAAATTCTTCAACCTTCCTGGGCCTTCATTTCATCATGAGAAAAGAAACATATAAATATCTTTCACAGACCATTTCTGTAAGTATTAAAACAAAATCAGCGTGCTTAGTTTATCTGTGTGACATTTTAGATATACAAGAAGGATTTGTTTAATTACTTCAGGTGCCTACAACCAGAAACTCTTTTTTCTTTTTATTGCTTTTAGCTTTATACGCTTTTTCATGACATGTGCCATAATAGGTAAGATATATACTTGAAACAAAGTAAGAATGATAATTCTGTTTCAACTTAATTGGTATTTACATATTTACTATAGATTAAATCTGTGTTAAGTGATATGAAGATATAAAATAGGTATATTTATTTTCTTACAATCTGAGTTACCTCAGTGAATTTATAATGAGAAATTGCTTGACATGGCCATTGCTAATTGTGCTGCCAGTGTAAGATGTCTACATCTGATTTGTGTGAATGGCTTGCTGTCTGTTTACAAGACTGAGGCTCTGATGTCCAACTGTGGAGTTTGTGGACCCTGCTACAAGGGAAACTGCAAGGTCAAGGCTAAAGGAATTTCCAGGAAAGGAAAGCCAGCCCCCTAGGGTGTGAACTAAAAGGCAGTTAAGGAATTTTATTTATTTATTGTTTTGTCAGGCAATTTATAACTTTAGCCTTCAATAACACACACACACATACAAACACTTTGTCACACTCACTCACAGTGCCATTAAAACCAAATAATCTAGCAATTTATGTGTCTGAAACACATTATCTTTATATCTTTTTAATCTCTATAAAAATTATGTTAAAATCACATTTTAAAAATTTAAAATGCAGCAATATGGAGATACCTTAAAGCAATACAAGTGAATCTACCATTTGATCCAGCAATCCCATTGCTGGGCATCTACCCAAAAGATCCAATGACACTCTACAGAAAAGACACCTGCACTAGAATGTTTATAGCAGCACAATTCATAATTGCAAGGCTGTGGAAACAGCCCAAGTGCCCATCAATCCAAGAATGGATTAATAAAATGTGGTATATGTATACCATGGAGTACTATTCAGCTCTAAGAAACAACG